TTGATATCTATGCATCAACTTGAGGGGGAGTGTTGAAATGGGATAATATTTGTTGAGCTGTACAATTTTTGAAATTTTTATCATTGATTACAGTTACATAATCATAGGAGATTTGTATTAAATAGATTAATTTTCTTATTTGCATAATCATAGGAGATTGGCATAATCATAGGACATTTGTATTAAATAGAAGTAGTAACAGGTTATTTCATTTTCTTATTTATAGCTGATTGACAGTTAATTTGTAATGGACCTAGAGTCATTATTTATGTATATAATTACCCCAGTAGAGGAAGAATAAACATGCATAAATATTCATAAGATGACACCATTGTTTTGACAATCATCCCGACATGACCACTATCACTATCGTCGCCGCCGTCGTTGTACCACAAGTGTCGACGTCACCACCACTACCATTACCGTCACCACCAGCACCATTATTGTAGCCACTGACATTGTCGTCACCACCACAACTATTGCCATTACTATGCCACCGCCGCCACCACCATCGTCACCAACCACCATTACCATCGTCGTAGCCACTGTCGTCACCATTATCACCACCACTGCCGCCATCACCAACCACCACCACCATTGTCGCAGCCACTACCGTTACCACCATCATACCACAACTACCACCTCCATGTTGTCACCATCATTGCCATCACTACCACCGCCGCCGCCATTATCACCACCATAGTCGCCGCAGCCATTGCCGTCACTACCACCATCATGCCACCGCCACACCACCACAGCCATCGTCGCCGCCGCCACCACCATCTCACCATATGGAAAGAAAAGTGATGATATGAAAAAAGTTTATGCTTAATTGGAATTTTTTATTATATTATTTGTTGTGTTATCAAACACATTTTTCATTTTCGGAATAGAAATATAACATGTTATCAAACACATTTTTTTCTCATAAACTGTTCCAAGATACAGAAGTAGAAAAAAATGATTTCTTTTTAGAAACAGTGCTAGGGAACAAAATGATTGTCATGCATATCGAAAAAATTCCAAAAAATTTTTTGAAACCATTTTTGTATGAACATCGTGGTAGAAAGATTACTACAGTGTGCCTAGATTTCAAATTGCCCAACTTTAACCATAGTAGTGGTCAAAAATTCTTGGTCGATAGAGAATCAAAGTGAATTTACTGATTTTAAGGCCGATTGAACAAACCCAAGAGCAGGAACGAGAAGATGCTAATGTATATTGGGTGAGGCTAGTACAGATATATGAAGAGCGGCTGCTTAGTAAGATATCAAATTACATCAAATTAGTGATTGAGAAAATTATATTAGATATTTTTTATTAATATCATTGAATTTCTTTGTTATTTTTTATTGGCTCTTGTAATTTTGAATGTTTGTTAAAAATTTGTATGATTTTTTAAAATCTTATAAATCTATGTTGTCCTTTCAAATCTTATAAATTATATTAAAATCCTTTAAAATTCAATCTTATAGAATATTGATTGCAAAAAAAATCTTTTAAATTTTTTTTTAAAGTCACTAAAATTCTAGATAGTCTTTTAAAATGTATACAAAAATTTATCTAAAAATAATATTTTAAATCTTAATCCAATACACACGTCTAATTTTTTTTCACACAACATATATTAAAACAAGGCATGAGAAAATTCATTCTCAGCATAATCTCTCATGAACAGATACCCGTAGAATTTATGAACAAAGGATTTGTTAGTTTACTATAATTTAAGGTGTTTGGTACGCGGTTTTTTCTCGAATTTTTTAGAAATTGAATTTTTTTAAATTTTAAATTTTTGGATATTATCGTAAACTGAATGTAAAAATTATATTTTTAAAAATTGAGATTTTTGGATAAAAAAAAATTTCTCCTCTACCGAACGCCCTTTAAATGTAGTGAATGTCCAGTTAGTGGGGTTGGACATGTGTTCGATTCCTGCTGAATGCATTCTTGGGGAGGGGCTGAACCTTTAGCCATCACTGATCCCCCGCACTCCGGATTAGTCCCATAGCCGGCTCAAAGAGTCGAAGCTTGTGGGGATACCGAAGAGAGCCAACTCGCCTCAAAGAAGTAATTAGGGTTGGGTAACTCCAAAAAAGAAAAAAAGAAATTGATTGATATAGATGACGAGAAATGTGAAATAAACAGCACAGCACGTATACAGCATAGCATTTTCATGTGACGATATGACACATATGGTAAGTTTCTTTTTTCCCTTTTCCTAAGAGGAGGTAGGTGACTGTTTTATAGTATCCTTAACTCATCTGGTGATTTTTTTTTACTGTTTATAAGAAAGCATTAAAAAAGAAAGAAGACGGTTCAAATTGTGATATCCTCTATTATATTAATGGGTTTTATAAACGTCTTCTTAATTACATATTTTTTATATTTTCATGAGAATGAATTTTCTCATACCTTGTTTTAATTTTATGTTGTGTGAATTTTTTTAATTATTATTTATTACATTCACAGTAAAATATTAATGATGAAACTCATAAATAAGAAAATAGTATTTAACATTTTAATTATTGGTATATGAATAAAAATTCGCCTACATAAAACTTGCTAAGTTTGTGCACCGGATTTATTTTTTCTTCAAAAAAAGTGTGTTAAGTTGGTTGAATATGAAAATTTTAAACAATGTCACTTTTAAATCTGTTCCTTTATTATTATGATTATTATTATTATTATTATTATTATTATTATTATTATTATTTATTTCAAACATTTTATTTCTATTTTATCTCTACTTTTTTTCTTGATTAATCTGATATTTTACCATATTAAACATAGTATTATTTTCCTAATAATGATTCTCTTTCTATAAATTAATTGTTTTCATATCAGAACTCATTCATTCAAATTAAGTCTTTTTACATCAAGATTTTTTGTAAATGCACGCAGAGTGAACCAATTAATTAATTATTAAAATTTAAAACTCTCTCATTAAAATTCTCCAGCTTTTTATTTTAGCAAAGCACTATTTTATGAGTTTAACTTTTCTGTAGTTGCTATAAAAAAATTTGTCTGCTACTCTCACAAAAAAATAGTGGGTCTCCCAAAAAAGAAATGGATCCTATGCAATAAAATTTGTTAAAAAATATTTGCCTCTATATTTTGGAGAATAATTATATATGACACATAAAAATTTCTACAGCAACTCATAAATATTTTTCACATACTTAATTTGCTTTTTCCCCCTACATTCACAAAAGACAAATGGTATAACATGTCCTCCCAGACTCGGTTCATGTAAATAACGTTGTTTAACCACTATGAAGATCGGGAAGCATTACAGCAAATAATAAGTTATTCTTCTTAAAAAAAGTATTCATTTTTAATATATAAATTATTGTTGAGTTATGTATTATTATTAAATGTTTTTTCTTTCGTTTCTTTATAATTATAACTTATAGGCACTAATAAGGGATAAGGATATATGAAGTTGCGAAGAATCAAACTTACGGAATAAAAGCAGGCCATTATTATGGAATAAAGTTATTTTGAGTCAACTCAAACTGACATTGTTTTAGATTATAAGATTAAAAAATTATAATGACAAAGACTAATATAACCCTGCAATATATTATAATTACAAAAATATTTTAATTTCCGTGCCAAAACAACGTCATTTTAAATTAACTTGAGATAACTTTATCTTTTTTTGGAGAAATTCTTTACCCTTATTAAGTATATAGAAAAAGTTTTAGATACTCTTGAGTAATTAATTTTTTAATTTTTAAATATATAATTTTTCTAAAAGAATCTTCTTAAATATACTTGAATATTAAAATAATTATGGAACATATCAATTTTTTTAACGACGTAACACTATATAATTAAAGGGTTTTGCATCTATCATTTAATATGATCACAATAACTTTTTTACACACCTAACATTTTGTGGGACCCACAATTTTTGAAACAAAAAAAAAAAAACTTCGGCACGCAAAACAAATTTCTATAACATAACATAATCATTTTTCCCACAACTTTACTCTTATAAAACCCATAATTAAATAATAAAGCAAAATATATATATATATATAGGGTGAGGATCATTTTACACCAGTGTAAGTTACACTCTCAATCTTGTCCGCTGATCCCACTTATATCTAAGGGCTCAAATTTTTTAGTAATGTGAGCCATTAGATACAAGTGGATCAATGGTCAAGATTGAGTGTAAGACTTGTAACTCTTACACCGGTGTAAGAATATCCTGCCCCATATATATATATATATATATATATATATATATATATATATATATATAAGGTAGGATCCTTTGAAACCAGTGTCAAATTTGAAATTTGACACCTCATTTGAGAGCCATTGGATCAAAAAAGATCAATGGTGTCACATGCTTACAAATCAGAGCCATTAATTTTTTTTGATCCAATGGCTCTCAGATGAGGTGTCAAATTTCAAATTTGACATTAATGTCAAAGGATCCTACCTATATATATATATATATATATATATATATATATATATATATAGATTAGTTTGTTTTACTTTAAACTATCTTCTAATCAAAACTATATAATTTGTCGCAACTCGAAATCTTTCAGCTTTGATTTTATTTTATTTTTCCTAAATATCAATCTACCCCAAGCATGTAATTATGGCATTTAAACCCATCATTTAATTATGCATTATTACGCTTTTTAAAGAATCTGATAAGAATATAAATAATTAAATACTAATTAATAGAGAGGCAATGCTGTTTTAGTGATATACACACTAAAAATAAAGGAGATCTTCTCACGCTAAAAAGTAATTAAACACAATCTTGCACAAGGATTGGCACTGAAAGTAAAATTTATAGTTATTAAGATCTTAATTTTATGTGGAGTGAGGAGTAAAGCTAGTAAATTAAGATCCGAATAAAAGAAAGTAAAAGAAGGGAGAATCATGGAATTTGATTGAGTTTAATATTCCTTCCTCGCTTGTGAAAGAAAAAGAAAAGGATAAAAGAGGAGAAAGAGCGTTAGCCACGGTGGTGGAGCCAGGAGTGAGGAAACAGAGAGGGGTCCACGATCTTGATACAGTGAAGACTCTGAGCACAAAAATCGAGGCCTGAACGCACTTCAAAACAAACAAACAAACGTAGAAAGCTGATAACTCTTACTGCGTTTTTTTTTTTTTTTTTTCCCGGGAAAATTAACAGCCTCTTTCATTGTAATCTCAGATTTTCTTTCAAGATCGTGGTCTTGGAAGCATGGACAATTCATCGACACACCAGAATGTACCTCCAATCTCCATGTCTCCACCACCTGAAAATCCGGCAGTTCTCCGCCACGTGGAACGCATGATCAACTACAACCACTTCAAATCTCCTTCCAGAACAATCTACTCCGACAGGTTCATTCCCAGTAGATCTGCCTCAAAATTCGCTCTCTTCGATATTTCCACTCCCGCCGGTGGTTCTCCGGCCGAGGAGAGTTCAAGCGCCTACGCCACACTCTTGCGCACCGCCTTGTTCGGACCCGATGTCGCCGGAGTCGCGACTCCGCTTACGCCGGAGAAGAAGGACTCGCCAGCGATGACTCTTCCGAACCGGAATATTTTTCGGTACAAGATGGAGACTCGGCAGTCTATGCACTCGCTTTTGCCGTTTATGTGCGACGATGCGTTGCCTGGCGTCAATCACAGCCCGGTCAAGGCTCCGAGGAAGGTTCCTCGATCGCCTTATAAGGTGGATTTAGTTTATTTCAATTTATTTTTATTTTTGTCTTTCTATCTTTGAATGCTGTGGTTGTGATTTAGGTTTTTGAGGCTTATGGAGATTTTGAATGTGTGGTAGGTTCTGGATGCACCTGCATTGCAGGACGATTTTTATCTGAATCTTGTGGATTGGTCTTCGCACAATGTGTTGGCTGTTGGACTGGGCAACTGTGTTTATTTGTGGAATGCTTGTAGCAGCAAGGTGATTTTTAGGATATGATTTGTGGATAATAATGCATGTGCTCAATTTCGGAAATTCCAATTTTATGTGTTTGTGAGCTAGCTGGTTTTCGGTTATGGAAATTGAAAGTGTTAAGAGTTATATAAAATCATTAATGGAAATTGAGTTATTTACATGCCACCAGAGTCATTTAGTTAAATAATTAATTCAGTATTGAGTTATTTACATGCCAATGGGCTGAGGGTGAGGGTGCGTGTTAGAGTTATATAAAATGTGGCCTCACCTTCCTTCCATTTTGATATGCTGCTTTCAGGTTACTAAATTATGTGACTTGGGGATCGAAGACAGCGTTTGTTCAGTTGGCTGGGCTCAACGTGGTACACACCTTGCAGTTGGAACTCGCAATGGTAAAGTTCAGGTAAGAGTTTATGTGCTGATGACATCTCAGGCACGTTTTCCCGTTCATATCCTTGGGTTTCCAAAGAAGTGTATTTGATGGGTACTCAGGAGCAATTGGAGGGCGCCATTCTTTTTGATTATTTGTTTTTATTTTCTTCCCCTTAGTTATTCTTTTGTGGTTTACTTTGCCCCCATATTGTACTACTCTTCTATTTCTCATATAAGCACAATATGAGGGTAACATGTGATAGCCTGTAACTGGACAAGCGCTATGACCATTTAGCATTATAGATCAGCAACTTTTACTAATCCTGAAACCCCAATTTATTTGGGTAAAAACTCCATCTGCAAAGAAGAAGAAAGAAAATCGGTAAAAAGAAGGGAGCATTGGGGTAAAATGTAAAGATGACGATGCAATCCTCCATTTAGGTTGGAGAGAAAAATGATAGCAAGGAATTAATAAGAACTTGCTACAGTAGATGGGAAACAATGGAAGATAGCTGCAAAGGGCGGTTAATTATTTGCTAGATGTGCTGTAGGTGACCTAAACCTTACCGGGGGGCAGGGAGATTCCTGGGCGGACTCTTTGCTTTAAGAAGGGAACGAGTATCGAACTGCAAACTGTTAAAGTTTATTCATTTAAATTATACAAAATGGAATGAAAATGATTTCAATAGTCATTAAGGAATGCAATAAAATGGAAAAGATTCTGACGATCTTTTCTCTGATAAGATAGTTCACCTTAGAAAAACAATAAAAGTATAGATACGTTCATTTGGAATTAGGTAGATTAATTATTAAAGATTTTCTGTCCAATTTTAACATTTTAACCAATATTTTAATTATTTTTTTTCTTTTTATTGATGTTGTATAAAATTGGAAGTTTAGAAATTTCAGTAATATCTTTTTTGTTCCCAATCTTTTCACTCACTTTTGGAGATGGGGAACACATTACTCCCTTTGCTTCCTTTTCATGAAGCATATACACTCAGATACATTCTAAATATATTTCAACATATACTTGGCATATTTGCTTATTTCTTAATACATTTTGTGATGTTTTCATGTTTGGGTATGTAATTATGTATATTGATATAATATAATTTTTTAATATATATGTTTATGCCATGTCATATCGTTATATTTTAGATCTTGTTGTGTTTCTGTCTCCATGTTGTGTCGTGTCTCGTGTCTGTTGACTATATCCATGTTTGATATCACTTTTTTCTTCCTTGATCATAAAAGTTATGTTACTATAGACTCAGTTTCCATGGTGAAACCTATTCTTGGCAACATAGCCACCATTGAATTTTATAATATTCACATATTTATAATTTTAAATTGTTTGAATGATGCATATGTTGCCATGTATAGGGTTCCCCATGAACTCAAGTCTATTTCAACACTGCTTTGATCATAATACATCCAAACCAGGGATAGGATGGGTCTTTTTCCTTATTTTGTCGCATCCTTAATATTTATGTTTATGCCACGTTGTATCCTTGTATTTTAGATCTTGTCTTGTTGCTGTCTGTATGTCGCGTAGTATCACGTGTCTTGTTGTTTTTATCTATGCTTGATATCAATGTTTCCTTCTTTGATCACGAGTTATGTTACTATAGACTCGGTTTACATGGTAAATCCTATGCATGGCAACATATTCACTATTGAAACAATTTAAAATTATAAACATGTGATTATTATACAATTTTATGGTGGATATATTGTCAAGTGTAGAGTTTACCATGGAAATCAAATCTATTGTAACATAACTCTTATGATCAAGGAATAAATATGTAATATCAAGCATAGATATAGACATCAGACACAAGGCACTACATATGGAGACAACAACACAACAAGATCTAAAATACAAGGATATGACATGGCATATATATATATTAAGTATGCAACAAAAAGTAAAAATTATAAATAACCCACCTCCTAAAAGTTAGGCTGATAAAGGGATCAAATGGGTCCTTTTCCATATTTTGTCGCATCCTTAATATTTAAGTTTATGCCATGTTGTATCCTTGTATTTTAGATCTTGTCGTGTAGTGGTCTTCATGTTGTGTCATGTCACGTGTCGTTGTCTTTATCTATGCTTAATATCACTGTTTCCTTCCTTGATCATGAGTCATGTTATTGTAGACTCGATTTCCATGATGAACCCTATACATGTTAACATATTCACCATTCAAACAATTTAAAATTATAAACATGTGAATATTATAAAATTCTATGGTGGGTATATTGTCAGGTGTAGTGTTTAACATGAAAACCGAGTCTATTGAAACATAACTCTTATGATCAAGGAAAGAGATATGAAGCATAGATATAGACAAAAACACAAGACACTACACATGGAGACAACAATAACACAAGATCTAAAATCCAAAGATATGACATGGCATATATATATATATATATATATATATATATTAGGAACATACCCTAATTACCTCTGTGAGGCGAGTAGGCTCGCTCTGGTATCCTCACAAGTTTCGACCCTTTGGGCCGGCTATGAGACTAATCCAAAGGGCGGGGCGGGTCATGGATACAGATTTTAAGCCCCTCCCTCATAAAGGTGGCATGTGGGGATCGAACTGAGGTCCTTTACTTTCCACTGCTCGGCTCCTATACATCAACTGAGTTACCACCATTTGGTTATATATATATATATATATATATATATATATATATATTAAGTATGCAACAAAAAGTAAAAACCATATATAACCCACTCCTAAAAGTCAGGCTGATAAAGGGGGAGAGCCTCCACTATAAATGAGGGTTATGACTCTGACACCCGTCCGACAGGGGACTCACGCTCCTGCGTAACCCCATTGGTTAAAAAGAGCAGTCCATACTTTGATACCAATTGATGTGGACAAGAACCCCCCCTTGAAAGCCAGACTGATAAGAGGGGAGAGACTCCACTATGAATGGGAGTTCTGTGAATGTGGGACTCATGCTTGTGTTAGTAAATAATTTAATAAATGGTTCAATTAACTTTTTGGTTCTATCTTATTCATTCTTAAAAACTTTAAGTATGATATTGGGTCTTAGCAACTCTGACTCCAGTTTTGGTATCTTGCATTAGTTTGATAGTTATCTATTGGTATAGTCCATAGGCATGTCATACAATAGACTTCTGATACAGAAAACTTAATTTGCGTGCTTGATTGAATCTTAACATCAGATCCATATATCATACCCATTTTCCCTCGAGTGTGTAAAAGTAGGCGGCAAAAACTTATTTCTGAGGTAAATTGGGGCAGAATAGATATAGGCTACTCAGTTTTCCTTTAAAGTTAGATAGCCAGTGCATCACTTTTACCTTAAACATTTTCCTTGAGACTGACTTCCCTAGAAAAAATTGGTGCCAGGCTGACCTCTGCTTAACTGTCTTGTGGAAACAAGATATGTCTTTTTCTTTTCCCATTGCATCCCTGGAACTTGTTAAGTTTGCTTTATTCTTTCTTTCATGAACCTTTAGATTCTTGTTTCTAAGCAAAAAGTTAACCCGTGCTTGGCTCTAACTATTATCCATGTAGATTTGGGATGCATCTCGATGCAAGAAGATAAGATCTATGGAGGGTCATCGTTTACGTGTAGGGGCCTTGGCCTGGAGTTCATCTCTTTTGTCTTCTGGCGGTCGGGATAAGAATATTTATCAACGAGATATACGTGCACAGGAAGATTTTGTCAGTAAACTGTCGGGGCACAAATCAGAGGTCATACTTCTTTTTATTTCTTTTTATCTCCTCACGCTTCATCTGGTCAAACCAATATACTGTACATGATATTCAGCATTGTGATTTTGATTTTTTATTTTCGTTTTTGGTTCTTCAAAGGTGTGTGGACTGAAGTGGTCATATGATAACCGTGAGTTAGCATCAGGAGGAAATGACAACAGAGTATGCAATTGCAAACTTGTTAATTTTTCTGAACTATCCAACTTCACTATTATTCTTTACTTCTCCTGCATTGGTACTTATAATTTATTTCATATGTTTGCAGTTGTTCGTTTGGAATCAACACTCAACCCAGCCTGTCCTGAAGTACTGTGAGCATACAGCAGCTGTTAAAGCTATTGCATGGTCTCCTCATCTTCATGGACTTCTTGCATCGGGAGGAGGAACCGCAGACCGATGCATTCGTTTCTGGAATACAACCACAAACTCGCACTTAAGCTGTATGGACACTGGAAGTCAGGTAAAAGTACTTGTCCTTAACCTGTTTATTCTTTTGTATTAAATTCACTACATTTTAGTATTTGCTCTAATACGTGGCTGGTTATTTGTTGACACTACAAAGTTGTAGACCAGTTGCTAGAAAATGCATGTTCCCTTTTCTTGAAGGGCACTTTCGTTAACTCATTTTGATAGAACAAGGGTAGTAATTGACAATTTAATTATTTGGAAAAAGAAGATACATGAAGATAACACTCACAAAGAAAGACACTAGCTCTAGGGAAAGCCCTTTGCAATGACATCACTCTCACTCAATAGAAGATAGCTAAATGATTGACTGCCTGTTCTCGTTACTGAGTTGCCCCTGTAATGGCCCTTATCATAATTGCCCTCTGTAACGGCTCCTATCAGAATCTGCCATTATTAGGTTGATTGGCCTAATTACCTCTTCTGGACTTTTTTTCTCCTTGATAATCTATCCATCCCCCACTTTAGCCTCTTTTCCCCCTTGACATTCAAATCATCCCTATCAATTTAAAGCATGAAAGAACAACAAACTGCTGAACCAAAATCTAAGATATGGAATACACTGTTAGAAAAAGATAGAGGTTCAAGAAAGGATTAGAAAAGGGCATGATATAGCAGCATTGAACCTCAAGACGGACATGACTCTCTGTTAGTGCAATCATCACAGATCTTGTCGAAGGAAGCTTTGAAACTATATCATAGGCCAACTCTACTTAAAGGTTAAGCTATTAGATGAAGGAAGGCTAATGAATGACTTTACAGCATACCAAAATTGTGGGACCTTACCTTGTGGAGCAACGCTTGATTATTGTTGTTGTTATTATTATAATTTTTGGGGCAGAGAGGGGTGATGAAAATGTGTAATGGAAAATTGGCCCCCCACCCAGGTTCAGAATTGACTTGAGCTTCCCTTCTTAGATGGAGGCAGACCTACTTACAATCCAATTCATGTGGTGCAATGAAAACCATTATTTGCTTCATCATTGTATACTATCATTGTATAGAAAGTGAGACATTACAAGGAAAATAGCTTTAGTGCAGTGTTTCTTCACTATTACAAGGTTGTCCAAAATTGCCTAAATAAAACTAAAATGTCAATTGTAGTTAGTGACCATTCATAACTGCAAAAGTTAAATTCTTTTAAATAAAACGGTGTTCAACCTTTAAATATGGCAGGTTTGCAATCTTGTCTGGTCCAAAAATGTCAATGAGCTGGTAAGCACACATGGCTACTCCCAGAACCAGATAATTGTTTGGAGATACCCAACCATGTCAAAGGTACACTATCTTCTGTGATTAAGTGTATCACTTATTTTGACTTAATTTGAATTTTACAATTTTTTTTTTTTTTTTGGGGCCCTTTGATGCAGTTGGCCACTCTTACGGGCCATACCTATAGGGTTCTTTATCTTGCCATCTCTCCAGATGGACAGGTATTTTAATTCTCCTTTTACTGTTCCTCTCTCTATATTACTGAGTATCTATGATTAAGAATTTTTATTATTATTATTATTATTATTATTATTATTATATATGCTATGTTTCTGGTTGTGATGAGTTCTAGTGTTTCAGACTATTGTAACTGGAGCTGGAGATGAAACGCTAAGGTTCTGGAATGTATTCCCTTCCCCCAAATCACAGGTAAATTATTCATTAAAAGATGGAGAGAAAAAATTGTGCTATCTGGAGCCGTGTTCGCATATTTACATTTGTTAACATATTAGTTTTAGTCATACTTGGAAATGTGTCTCTATTTCCTTAAAAATGACTGGAGATTAGGAGATACATTACATTCACTTTAATATAGTTTTATAAAAGGCCTTTTGTCTCATTTCCTTTGCTTTTCTTGTCTTTTTTCTTTGAGAAAGACTTCTAATTTTCAATTACTTTGCATTTGTGAAAATGACAGGTGTACCATTCCTTTATTTATTTATTTTATACTAGTGCCATGACATAGACCGATTATGTGACTATATATTACTTGCGCATATCATTTTCCTAACATATCTCATATACGTGAGATTAACCAATTGCCACACTGATTTAAACAATGTTATAACTACACATACAACCACAAAATAATAAATTTCATGCCAATCCCTTTTAAATTCATCAGATATATCATTGGTCAAATATGCTTGATAGATGGTTAATCAACGAGCTACCCTTACCTATCTTAGTAAAGTGGTTTAAGTGATTAAATGTGTTTGATAGTTGGTTAATCCCATGCATGTGAAATATGCTAGGCAAATGTTATGTGCAAATAACATTGTTCAGTGTGTAAGGATATAGTGTATATAGTAGTTACTATGATCTTCTGGTTTGTCATTGTTTATATGTTAATAATTATTAAACGGATTTGATCATTGATGCAGAATACTGACAGTCAAATCGGAGCTTCATCCCTTGGAAGAACAATTATTAGGTGATTGATTGGCATTTCACTTCAATCACGTGGCATATTTCAAATTTTAGGTTGTTGTGCAGAAAGAAATTTCAGAAGAGGGAACAACATGATGGTAAAACTTTATATGTGAAATTCACCATCACTGTGATATGCTTTACCAATTGGAGAGCCTTGCAGGGAGCTATAAAAGTTATAATATGGCTGCCTATGATAGACACACATGGGATTCATTTTATTCTGTCTTAGATTTCTAAATGTATTGATGGAGTTGTACCCCCCCCCCCCCCCCCCCCCCCCGCGCGCGCCTCCTTTCTCTTTTTTGGTTCTTTTCAATGTTGCTCTCCTGCATTATATATTTAAGATGAGACCACAGAGAAAACACCATTAGCAAGCTTGAAACAGCCGTTGTATATAACTATTCTTTTTAGGAGTGGTGTCATATCTTTTTATTTCCCCTTAGCGCTGTTACTTTTGATTGTTTATAGAAGTTACTTGGAAATCATGGTGTGAATTCTATGCTCTCGAGTTATGGTCTATTACCCAACGCGAGCATGCATATAAGTAGAAAATTAGCTTATACATTATATGGAAATTTGCTTATTCATAAATCATTGAATTTATGAATATTTATAGAATTACTAGTCCTGTTGATTGTATATTCTGTTTGAATAAATTTTTGTTGTCTTATTTTTTTAAACAGGCTAAATCAGACTTTTATTTTTTGTAAATAAGTCAGGCCACAGGCCGATAACTATATTCATAACAGGTAATAGGTTTGGTCAGACTAACACATTTAAACACAGGCTTGGCCTTTTAAGATTAAAGCTCGACTCGGCTCGGTCCGTTAACACACTTAGATACTGTTGTAAATATTAGGTCGTTTATTATTATTAGTATTTATTGTATTGGGCCAAGCCCATTAGGTCAAGAATTAGGTTTTTTAGTCTCTATAAATAGAGACCTCTTTGTATCAGATTAATACACAATTCAATAATATTTCAAATACCCTTTTCTTTCATGTTGGTATCAGAGCTCTCGATCCTGAGGGCTTTGCTTCCGCGCATATTGTCTTTAGAACAAGAACCTTTTATTCTTTTTGTCTCTCGCTGCCATCAGCCGCCACTGGATTTTTTCCAGGGACCTCTTGGACCGAGAAGATCTCTGTTATACTGGATCTCTGTTACTGTTCATCGTCTCCATTATTCTTCATCACAAGACAGCATCTGTTCATCACGATTGGACCTTTTCCCGGTGGTTTTTCAACTCCGAACAGACCCAGAAAGAACCGCGCTCACCGGACGACGTTGCTCCAGAAATTTCAGACCGGACGGCCACCGCACGCGCCCACACGCGCCGCCCCTTCAACCGCGAGTGAAGCCCACGCGCAGCCAATCTCACCGGCATGTGGCGGCGAGTGAGACCATTTTTTCGGATTGGACCACCGCGATCTTGATCGTCCCTTCATCCTCTTTCTGGATCTGTGCTCCTCTCTTTGATCAGACATCGTTTGGTATTTATTTGTGATTTTTTGGCTTCTTGGAGCTTTTCTTTAACCATTTTCTGTGCAGTATGGCCTTTTCTCAAAGGAGTTGTTTTTCAAAATTTTATGATGGTATCTCTTCTAGACCTAAGAGAGATGATCGATGGTGTTCTTATTGTAAAAGAACAGGTCATATCAAGGATTTATGCTTTCGCCTTTATGGAAAGCAAACTGTCTTAGAAAAGATGGCAATGATGCGTGGTCAAGCGCATTTTACTTCTTCTGAAATAACCCCTGCACCTAATGAGACCCAATCTGCATTTCGTCCAGATGAGTTGGAACGACTCCGAACCATTCTTGATTATCTGAGTAAGCCATCTGATACTAGTGCTTTGGCTATGACTGGTATGAGCTCCAAAACTCATTCTTTCATATCTTCATGTAATGATTTTAAACATTCTTGGGTTGTTGATTCTGGTGCTATTGATCATATGGCTTGTTGTGCTGACTCCTTTATTTCTTATCATCCTACCATTGGAACTCATACAATATCCATAGCTGATGGCTCACATACATCAGTTGCGGGTTCTGGTGACATAAACTTACAACAGTCCTTACATCTTAAGGATGTTCTTCATGTTCCTAAACTCTCCACGAATCTCCTTTCTATTCACAAAATTACAAAAGATTTGAATTGTACTATAACCTTCTTCCCTACCTATTGTGTTTTTCAGGATCTCGCCACAGGGAAGACGATTGGTTGTGCTAAAGAGCAAGGTGGGCTGTACTATCTGGTGTCACAATCTCCCGCAAATAAAGTAACAGATCATACCTTCATGTCTCATGGTCAATCAACTGCTGATTCTTTAATTTGGCTGCATCATAAGCGTTTGGGTCATCCTCCATTTAGTTTACTCAAATCTTTATTTCCGTCATTGTTTTTGTCTAAGTCTGTTGAGTCTTTTCATTGTGATGTTTGTGAATTTGCTAAGCATCATCGTGTGTCTTTTCCTTCTAGTATTACTAAGAGTGTTGAACCTTTTGATCTTATTCATTCTGATGTTTGGGGTCCTTCTAAGGTCCCTCATTCTTCTGGAAATAAATGGTTTGTTTCTTTTATTGATGATTGCACTCGTGTAACTTGGGTCTACTTAATGCGTGAAAAGTCTGAGGTACCACAACTGTTCTTTCAATTTTATAAAATGATTGAGACTCAATTTTGTAAAAAAATCAAAAGACTAATGACAGATAATGGTACTGAATATGTCAATAACTCTTTTTCCCAATTTATACAAAATCAAGGTATGATTCATGAACTTACTTCTGTAGACACCCCTCAACAAAATGGGGTTGCTGAAAGGAAAAATCGTCACCTTCTTGAAGTTGCTCGTGCCTGTTTCAAACACATGTACCCAAATGCTATTGGGGAGATGCCATTCTTATTACAGCGTTCTTGATCAATCGTCTACCCACTCGGGTTCTCGATCATGTAAGTCCTATTCACTCCATGACTTTTTTTTTTCCTTCTGTTCCAACTTTGCAAAGTGTTCCTCCTCGAGTGTTTGGGTGTGTTGTCTTTGTTCATATTCATAAACAGCATCGCAGTAAGTTGGATCCCAAGGCTCTTAAATGTGTCTTCCTTGGATATGCTCCTGATAAGAAGGGCTACAAGTGCTATCGCCCTGGAAGTCGAAATTTTTTTGTTTCTATGGATGTTACATTTCAGGAATCTGAGTCGTTTTTCCAAGGTCCTCATCTTCAGGGGGAGAATAATTCACCAGAAGAGTCATCACCTTCCTTCTTTGAATCTTCAGTGTCTACTCCTTCACCTGTGTCAGTGTCTCTTCCTCTTGTTCCTGTTCCTAATGTGTCCATGTCTGATCCTCCTGTGACTGATCCTCCTATGACTGATACATCAAGTACACTAGAGATACGGAAGATTGTAACACCTGAATCGTCTGAACAGCCCACATTGCCTCAACAACAACCTCAATCGTCTGAACCACTGGTAAGTCCTGAATCTCATATTTTTGATCATGATGTTACTACTTCTGATGACTTACCCATTACTACTGCTTCTGATGATTTACCCATTGCTTTAAGAAAAGGAAAAAGATCTTGTTCCAAGAAAACTTGTTCTTCCTGTCCCTCTTGTACTCAATACCCTATCTCCCATTTTGTTTCCTCTGCTAATCTCTCTGTGCAGCACAAAAGCTTTGTTTCAGCACTAGATTCTACTTCAATCCCAAAATTAGTACATGAAGCTTTGAAAGATGGGAATTGGGCTCAAGCCATGCAAGAGGAGATGAATGCGTTGGAGAAAAATAAAACATGGGAGGTTATTGATAGACCCAACGGAAAGAAAGCAGTAGAGTGCAGATGAGTTTATGCCCTGAAATATAATTCTGATGGCACTCTTGAGAGATACAAGGCTCGATTAGTCGCCAAAGGTTACACTCAAACCTATGGCATTGATTATGAAGAAACCTTTGCTCCAGTTGCAAAGATGAATACAGTGAGAATCTTGTTGTCCCCTGTTGCCCATTACAATTGGGATATAAATCAATTTGATGTGAAAAATGCTTTCCTCACTGGTGAGTTAGAAGAAGAAGTCTACATGGAAATCCTATCTGGTTTTGATTCTGTGAAGGGGGAAAATAAAGTTTGTCGATTAAAAAAGGCCTTGTATGGATTGAAACAGTCACCTCGTGCTTGGTTTGGAAGGTTTACTAAGGTTATGATGACCTTAGGATATAGACAGAGTCAAAGAGATCACACTTTTTTCTTCAAGCACTCCCAAAATGGGAAGCTTACTGTGCTCCTTGTATATGTTGATGATATTATTATCACAGGTGATGATTATATGGAGAGACAGATTCTGCAGACACGACTTGCCTCTGAGTTCGAAGTCAAAGACCTTGGGAAACTGAGATATTTCTTAGGGATAAAAGTAGCTCATTCAAGCAAAGGAATTTTTATCAGTCAGAGGAAATATGTTTTGGATCTTCTCAAAGAAGCAGGGAAGCTCGGGTGTAAACCCTCTAATACTCCTATTGAGCAGAATCACAAGATAGGCTTTGAAGAGGAGAGTCCTCCAGTTGATAAAGGACAATATCAACGGCTAGTTGGAAAATTGATATATCTGGCTCATACTAGGCCAGACCTAGCTTATGCTGTTAGTATTGTCAGTCAGTTTATGCACGATCCAAAGGAGAAACACATGCATGCAGTAGAGAGAATTCTTCAGTATCTTAAAGCTACTCCTGGTAAAGGATTGTTATTCCGACGTGATGGTAATCTCTCTTTAGAAGTCTACACTGATGCTGATTATGCTGGATCCGTGACTGACCGTCGTTCTACCACTGGTTATTGCATGTTTATTTGCGGTAACTTGGTGACATAAAGAAGTAAGAAACAAGATGTGGTTGTCAGATCAAGTGCAGAAGCTGAATTTCGAGCTATGGCTCAAGGCATTTGTGAGTTACTGTGGCTGAAAATTGTACTTGATGATTTCAAAATAAAATGTGAGGGACCTATGAAGCTGCTATGTGATAATAAGTCCGCTATTTGTATAGCTCATAATCCAGTTCAACATGATCGGACTAAACATATCGAGGTCGACCGCCATTTCATCAAAGAGAAACTTGATAGCGGGTTGATTACCACTCCATACATTCCCACTTGGCGTCAATTAGCTGATCTATTGACAAAGGGACTTCCTTCAGACAGATTTCGAGAACTTACTAGCAAGCTGGGAATGATAAATATATATTCTTCAGCTTCAGGGGGAGTGTTGTAAATATTAGGTCGTTTATTATTATTAGTATTTGTTGTATTGGGCCAAGCCCATTAGGTCAAGAATTAGGTTTTTTAGTCTCTATAAATTGAGACCTCTTTGTATCAGATTAATACACAATTCAATAATATTTCAAATACACTTTTCTTTCAAGTGATACTACACCAAAATCATTGGTTATTATCATTAATGAGAAAATGATTAAAATTAATAATAAATATATGAAAAATATTAGTCTCATATGATAGTAGATAATAAATCTCTTACACATTCAAAAAACTGTGGAGTCCATTTTAATAAATTTTTTCTCTTTTTCTATACAGTGAGACCCCATATAAGTTTCTGAGTGCAACATGAGATATTTTATCTCCTATTGCATAAGAAAATATAATCTCTCTCTCTCTCTATATATATATATATATATATATATATATATATATATATATGAGGTAGGATCCTTTGACACTGGTGTCAAATTTCAAATTTGACACCTCATCTGAGAGCCATTAGATCAAAAAAGATCAATGGTGTCACATGCTTATAAATCAGAGTCGTTGATCTTTTTTGATCTAATGGCTCTCAGATGAAGTGTCGGTGTCAAAAGATCCTACCAATATATATATATGAAGATGGTTATATTGACAAAAATATTTTTTTTTCACAAACTACACTGTGATAATCGTGTTCTTAGCCGGGAAAATTTGTTCGATACTTGGATAATATTGTCGAAGACTTAATCATTGGTTATTACATTTGGAAAAAAAATTGATTTAATTATTATATTTATTCTATTTATCATTAAAACACCCTTTATTTGAACTACTATTATTTTTAGTTACAGAAAAATATTTCTGCAGTTACTGCAGATAAGTTATCTGTATTTACTCTCAAAATGACGTCGTTTTATGACTGAAATATTAAAAATTATAATTATAAAGACTATAATAACTCTAAAATAAATTAAAATACTATGATTTTCGTCTTAAAATAATATCGTATTGAACTTACTGCAGATAACTTATCTGCAAGGATACAAAACAAATCTTTTTACTTATTACAAATAAATTTGGCAAAAGTCGAATCCACCACGTCAATTTGTCAATCCGTCAAATTCAGCCCGCTAATCCAACATAACCTGTAGTTTTGTTGCAAAATTGCAATGTCAACGACTATTTTCAATGGTTAATCATTACAACTTAGATTGAACTGAACAAAATAAAAAGACAAATATTTCCATACAAAATACTATCATTAAAGCAATTGTGTAATAAATTATTTGTAAAAATTTACACACCAACATAAACTTCTCATTTAATCCCACGAATCATTAAATAATATGTTGATCCCAATATAATTTCTTTATTTTTTTAATATTAAAAAAAATTGGGGGAAAATTATTTTATTTTTTAGGCGGATTGACCCTTTAACCGCCTCAAACTCGATGAATTAATATTTATTTTGCCAACTCTAACTACAAGTGACACCATTCACAAGTGACATCATATTATATAATCATATTTAGAAACACATTTAAAAAAAATAAAAGTTTGATTTTATGTATTTTAAACAAACTTGCAAGCCGGCCTACTTAATTTAAAGCATGTAATTGGGTTAGACTAACAAATAATTGGTCCAAACCTGACCCAGTTCAAATTAATCTAATTTGCCCGCACGAGTGAACTGGATTAGCTCAAATTGACACCTTAAATGTTCGATGCAGCAATTCAGTCATTGTGTTCCAGAATCTTGTAACATACCATAAGACTACTTTGGAATTTTCCGGAACTATAAGAACCCTGCAATGCAAGGTACGATAATTTGTACATTAACTAGAGATTCCGTTGATTTGGGCTTTCTTTGCTTACCCAAAAGAAAAGGTGTACTAAATGCCCTTATCAGCATTCCAACACCATCACAATTTCTTCCAATCCATTGGTTTAGAGTCTGTTTGGATAGATTTTCAAAAAAAATGTTTTTTATGCTTTACTTATTTTAGAAGTATTTTTTTTTTTTGTAAATAGAAGTATTTTTTTTAAATAAAAAGCTAATACTATTTAGATTTTTTAAAAAAAATTAATTTTTGATTTCTAATTTTTAAAAAAAGCCAAAAAATTTAACTTCCAAAAAAAGTAAATTTTGAATTTTTTTTATAACTTCTGCTTTTTTTAAAACAAGCATTTAATTTGAGAAATACTTTTTTTTCTGAAAAAAAACAACTTTTAAAGAAAAGAAAAACTCATCCAAACAACACTTAATCTATTTCCAGAAGAAGTCAGAGCCTTAACACAACCTTTTAATCAAATCCAAAATCCAAAGTTGATATATATAGTCTGAAAAACAGCTTTGGAATATGACTTTGAGACATTAGTTGAATACACAGTTCACAACCACCGTTGTGATTTGTTGAGGCACAACAATAATTACGTATCTTAATCAGACATGTACATTGTATGATGCGGGCGTTTATATGGACACATTATTTTCAATATATTGATTATGCAGCCTTATATGTATATATATAAACATTATGTCTTGCAGGTTTCAACTTTCAAGGCACTCTTCTCTTAGGTCGCCCTATGAACAATTCCGTCTCCACCTCCTCTTCGTCCCTTCTTTCTGTGACCTGTTCGACTTTTTCTTTACTTATAGACCGCTCTTGTTCGATCCGACACTACAACAATAGAAAGATGTCAAAATCGAGATTTTAATCAAGGTGAAAAAAAGGAGGAGGAAATTTACCCTCTAATTAATTACTTTTATGGATTATGATAGGTACTTCAAAGAAATATTTTGCATTTGATGTACTTTATATGAAACTTGAGAAGATAAAGCCAAAGGAAAAATATTTTCTCATGTTAATTTAATTCATGTCGTAATTTTTAATTTGTGTACAAAATTTTTCTTTTTTTTTTTCTTTTTTTTTGATAAATGTGGGATCCACTACTAGTTGAGTCACAACATTCAATTCTCATGCAACATGAAAAAATCAAATCCAAAGCGAAATCGCTCACTAATGAGATAATATGAAATGAAGTAATGAAAAGTACAACTAAAGATAATAACCTGCTCACGTAAGCGTCTATTTTCCTCAAGTAGGCACTTTTCCTTGAAGTAAGCCCAAAGATCATGTCAATTCTAACAAGCAATCTAAAACAAATAAAATGAAATTAAGATATGTAAGCAATCATGAAAGTAACGTCACCTCTTCTCTTAGCTTCGCAATTCGCTCCTTGAACAATTCACTCTGAGTACAAGCAGCACCAAGTTTTTCAATGTTAGGTAGGTGTCATGGTTATTGATAAACACTTAACAAATATCACAATGCCATAATTAAGTTGTTTTATAGTGTTAGATGCACTGCTCGTTTAATTGAATAATTGATTTTAGGACAAATCATTATTAAGGACAGATGAAAAGGACCACTTAATCTTTAATACACATTGAAAATTAAATTATTAAGAAAGACTACACAAAACATAGAAAAAATGATTCTTAAATTTCACCCAACAAATAAAAACATCTTTATGAACATATTTACGAATGAGTATTTGCTTATTTATGAATAGTTATTTGTTCTTGTTGAGTAAAGTGAAGAAAAAAACTGTTAATCACTATTGCTTGATGCAAAGTGGTCATTTAAGTTTTGAACTCCTCAAGTGACTAATAACAATAAATAAAGTACTATATGTAAGAGGAAATACTCAATTTAGTCTTTTAACGATAAATGAGACATTTGGTCTTTTTAGTATAAATTTGATCCTACAATATTAAAAATGAACTAATTTACTTTATCAATATATACATAGGCATCAATACGGCCCCATGCAAGATCAGGAAAGATCACCAACTTTATCAAAGATTTAGAGCAGGTTTATATGTCACCTACTAAAAAACGATACCTGAAAATTAAACTCAAGCCAAAATTAGTATCGGCATAAGATTCAACTAGGTGTTTCAAAGCCTTCTTTGAGGACTAAATTGATTGTTTATTCTATATGTAAAGATATATGAGGATATGAATAAATTTTGCAAATGACTATGAGTGATTATTTATTTTCATTAAGTGAATATTACTTCTGTGCATTGTTGTTAAAATCTCGATTTATCACTACGATTTTACGTTTTTACGATTTTTTTTCATCAAAACGATTTTACTAATATTCCAAATGGTTTTCCGTTTTTACGATTTTTTACGATTTTTTTACATTACGATTTTACGTTTTACGATTTTTTAATCCCTATCCAATTTTACTTAAGATCTCGATTTTAACAACATTGCTTCTGTGAAAGGTATATTTATTCATCAAATAGAATACAAGTCTCTCTATTTGTAAAAAATTTATATAATCCTTCTTCATATTTTAAATTGGTTTTCCTTTGTACTAAAAAACACTAGAAAATTACAAAGTGATTGAAGCGCACCTTTCTGGCTCTAATTTTGTTTAAGCTGCGTTCGATCTGGTTCTCTAGCTGTTGTAACTCGTCAAGTGCGCATGTATCCAATTCATCTCCCAAAAGCTTCCTACAATACATGAAAATCTCCAATGTTGAGAATAGGGATTTATGTGTTTCTCTCAAAAATCAATCAGAATAAGACCAGTGAAAGTCCGTTCCGAAAACCTTTTAGAAATTTCTAGATGCTTGATCTTTGTTGCTATGCTGATATCACCTTCCTTCATATGCTGCATGTAAAAGGGAAAAAAGAAAAGAAAAAGAAACAAATATGATTAAAAGCTCAATCACTCACCAATAAGTCATCAAATTATATATTTAGATGAACCAAACGTCTAGTGTTACTTTTTCTTCTCTTTCATTGCATCTAAATATTCTGATGAAAAAAACAAAAAAAAGAGCTCGAGTAAGATTTGTTAAATTCTTGCTGGATGATCATATTGATGCGGCAGTACCAAAAGATTGAGAGTCATGTCATGTCATGAAAACGATTTAAAAGCTGCACGTGGCGTAAAATGAACTGAAAGGGAAAAAGATAGTTCTGCATATTTTGAGGTATACGTAAAATTTGGACCTTAGGAAAAAAATTATATTGGGATTCAAAATGTCATTAGGTTACTTGCATATGAACGCAAGAAGAGTTAGTGTATACGTGTGATATTGTTAAAAAAACTGAGACATTTATTTCATGCACATTTGTTCTCAACAATATGTGAATAAATTCAAAGATACAAAAAGATATGAATATGAGATGACACAAATAAATCACTCAAGATTTTAAAAATGATAAATTCCTTTTGCAGAATACTTAATTTATGCTCCCAAAACTGGTGTATAAAATGTGAGCCATAAAGTTTAAATAGGTTAAATTCAAATATGTTGTGTGCAGGTGTGGAGAAATGCAGCAGGCAAATTCTGGAAATTCAATTAAGAGAAGAAGTCCATATAACAAAAAGCCATGGGCCAAAAGAAAATTATATAGATGCATAAAATTAATAATTTGAAATTTTAATTAAGTCAATATATCTGGTATTAAACTCACGAGTTTTGTTTCTGATGCTAAGTCTCATACAGAAAAGTGTATATATAAAGTTAGGGTTTCCATTCTATCATTTAACATGACCACAAAAAATTTTCTACACACAATATTTTGTGGGGCCCGCATGTTTTAAAAAAAAAAAACTCTGGCACGCAAAACGAATCTCTATAACATAACACAATCACTTTTCCTACAACATAACTCTTATAAAACCCATAAAGTTATAATCATTGATTAAAAAATATCATGCAATAAGATTGTGACAAAATATATATATATATATATATATATATATATATATATATAGGACAGGATATTCTTAAACCGGTATAAGAGTTAGAAGTCTTACATTTAATCTTGAGCATTGATCAACTTGTATCCAATGGCTCACATTACTAAAAAATTAGAACCCTTAGACATAAGTGGGATCAACGATCAAGATTGAGAGTGTAACTTACACTGGTGTAAAATGATCCTAATCCTATATATATAGAGAGTTTACATTTCTGTGGCTGTTGTACGTGCAACAATCAAATACTTGCCATATACATACTTGAAAGCATTAAATGCGGAGAATCATAACCATACAAAGGATGAAAGCATTAAATTTGGGGAATCATAACCATACACCTGTCGTTGTTGTACGTAAAGCGGCTGCAGAAATAATTTTACCTATATATATATACATATATATATGTGTGTGTGTGTGTCAGGATCATTTTACATCCATACAAATTGCACTTTTAATCTTGGCCGTTGATCCCACTTTTATCTAATGGTTATAATTTTTTAGTCATATGAGTCATTGGATACAAGTTGATCAATAGCTAAGATTGAATATAACACTTCTTATTCTTACATTGGTGTAATATAACAAATCATGAAGTAATTGAAATTCATTATATTAAATTTTCCAATTCACGGTAATAATTCAAAAAAATTCCCACTAAAGTGAACTCCTCACTTTAGAGAAGTGCAATTTTCAAAACTAGAATGCAAGAAGTTACAAAAGAGTACAGGTATTATATTATGCGTTTGATATCAATGTTTAGGATAATATTCTTTTAAAGGGAACTTGTCTCTAAAATGAGCAAGAGGTAGATACACCATTACTTGACTTTAGAGACAACCTCACTTTAAAGTAACTTTTTTCATTTGTTTATGTTGTTGAGTTGGGCAATTATGAATTACTAGATTACCTTCCCATCAATCACCACCAAATAAGGTAAAATTTATTAATCACGGATCATAGGTTACTTTTCATCACAACCGCTAATCGTTCTTATTCTCTGCAAGTTTGAGCTGTGAAACAAAATATCATATATTGAACATCACTCCCTATAATCCAATCAGTGTAACTCAGTTGGTAATACAGACTGAGTAGGTAGGAAGAGAATTTAGGTTTGATTCCCATCAAATACATCTCTAGGGGGAGCGGGGTTCAAGGAGTTTTAAGTGTGATTAAGCCCCCGATTTGTATTTATACTTGTTTTCTGACCCATACTTGGGTAGGACTAGTATTCAACATTAGAAACTATAGGTATTTCCTATTCAAATCTTGTCTTCTACTAATAAAACCACATATTCTGAAATTATAATTCGTATAAAAAGATGATGTGTAGCAGTTCCATTTAAGATGTTTCATGACAGACACAACACAACTACGTACAACAGCAGGCTAGTTATACAAACATCAAAAGCTGAAGCCGAAAATGTCCCAGTGCAAAATTTATATTGGTTACTGCATTTGGCAGACCCCATAAGTGTATCCACGGATCGAATTTTAGATTATTCTTGACACCCCAACTTAATTTCTCGAAAATCCAGTGCAAAAAAGCAAATACATATGGAGGGCTAACCTGTGTATTTTCTTGTTTTCCTTTGGTGCTGCGATCCAGGTCCTTGACTTTCCTCTGATAGCGTTCGACTGTTTTGTTTATACTGAAGCATATCCCATAGACAAGAGCAACAGAAAGTTTCTTAGGCAACAAAAGTCATTTTCACTTATGACATGTTTTCAATTCAACAAGCATCGATTTAATTGATTGGTCAAAGCATGACAGGATTTATGTGTGTAGTTAGTGAAGTGAAGCATATTCACAAGGAATTGAAGTAGTATTTATCTGTGCTTTTAGCATATTCTTTATGTCTTGAGCTACAAATTAAGAGAAACACTTTAGGCCCTTTCTCACGTAATCCATCCTGCATCTCAATGATGAATTCTAAATCTCAGTTCACCATCTTCAAACATACCCCAATAAGTATCATCTAAATATCCTATTAGAAACTATTATGATGAGAAAAATACCAAAGGCAAAGAAAAATTATTTTGCAACAAAGTAATTTTGATTTAAATACCATATTAGAATAACTTACAAATAATGCTGATTTTAGATTAAATGTTCATCTACCTCCATTTATCAAATTTGATTCTTTATATTTGAAAGTGACACAATCCTTTCCACAATTCATTAATGAATGCCTTATCATTCTTAAGTATCTTTTTTTTTCATTTTTAAAAAGATTTCAAACACCCTTTTAATGTAACTATGTATTTTTTTTTTAACAATTTTACACACCTCCCTTTTAACATATATTCTCCTAGATTCTTGCTAAATTTAAAGAAAACTTATGCAAGGTATAGGATACTCAACAGTTCTTTGTTATTTCTAAAGTTCTTGGGGGTTTAACTTCAATACTGTGCCTCCTTCGGTACATTATTAAAATGGTGCTTAGTGAAGTTATTTACAAACAAAAAAAGTACATTTTTACATATAAAACTTCTCTCGTTCTTATAAAAAACTTTTGCATAAAAGTTGTAAAATATTGTACCAACGAGTAATAGTCAAGTGTTACTTATTAAAAAGGACGTTTTAAAAGCATTAAAAAAATATTACTTTTCCTGCAATCAAATATAATAAAAAAAATTCTAACACCTTACAGAATATCGACATATATAACCTTAACGAAAGTATATGTTAAAGAATCAAACATACTTTATAATTATATCTTAAATATGAAGTAGGTAGAGATCTCTTACCATCAAGCTTGACAATCAAGTTATATGAAGGAACGAACTGTATATAGTATACATCAAAAGCATGTCCATTGAACAATTAAATCTACCCAAAGAATATTTTACAAGAGAACTTGGCTTATAAAACATCATAAAAAAGTCGATTTTTTGTTTTCTTTGTTGGTAACTCGATGAGGTTCTTGGAAAGACAAGTAAACTGCTACAACTAAGAACATTGGACAGGGTTTCTAGTTTAACGCATAAGTGATGAAATGACCGTAGTTCAGACTTCAGACAGATGGTAGATAGTCATTGATTGCACAAGACAATGCCTTGGGTTTCTGTAATTATAGTTCCCACCTCAGTCAATTATTTGAGAGACAAATATAAACAGAAAAGCCCCCAATATATTGGCAGAAAGGGTTTTTAATGCGTAATCCCAAGATTGGGACATATTTTCAGGTAAGTAAACATGCAAACCACAAATATCTAATTAACACACCCCACTAACAAGGATAACTTTTACCAACAGGTGATGCTCGTGCTGAAGAAAGAGAAACAATTCTTTTAAGATGAAATTAAAAAAGAGGAAAATATTATAATATAGTAGTAATTCCTGGTAAACCAAGGACCGGCTCTTATTTTAATGTTCATCTTAAGATTCCGAGTTGGTTGTCAATCACATTAAAACATGCCCTATAATCAAACAACAATTTTTCTGAAAGAAATGAACTAGTACCAACAGTAAACAATTACATTAAAACAAGCCCTTTAATCAAACAACAATTTTTCTGAAAGAAATGAACTAGTACCAACAGTGAACTCCACTGTATTGTGTTCATTGGGTAATTCCAAAGCTGTCTAATTGCTAATAGCTATACTTTCTAGAGGCTCTATGACAAATGGGAAGTTAAAGGCATATTTACCCCTTTCTTTTCTCAAGGTATGTGTGTGGCAATAAAGACTTTAATTATAACGAAGTTGGATTCATGATGAATTCTATAGTTGACAGCAAATTTATACAATACGTTACCAAGTTTTAAATCAATAAAAATAAATGACAGATCGTTGTTTATAGACGAGACCGGAGAACAACTTATGTTCAATTAACAGTATCTTAGGAAAAAAGTACCAAAAACCCGTTTGAAAGAAAATCAGATACGTGTGGCTATATGCATCTATGCCCTTGATAGAGTTTGTTAGCAAACTATTCCTTCAATTTTACTTTATTAATTCAATAATTCACCTTATGTAGGAACTCTTTTCTAACAGTGTTATGGTTATAAAGCCCTTCTCTTTGGTTATCTCATTTCTATTCCAGTTCTTTCTCTCTTCAAAATTGCTATATATTCTATGGAAATGGGACAATATCAATTTCTCTCTTATTCTATATTCCTTCATGGCTAGCAAGAAGTAAATATGTTAGCCATTTAAGTAGTCCATTAACATTCGTAAGGAGATCAAATACCACCACCACTGGAAAGGGATATTGAGCTTTATGGTACGAGCCTACCTATCTAGCTATCGCCCTGGTCACTTGTAGGCATAATACATAGTACCATGGCAGTGTCAGTGAAAGTATTTATTGCTTGATATGATTATATGTATGAACAAATTATAGATGAAAAACTGTTGAAATAAATAACTAAATGGAGAGAAGAGGTTGGGGTTAAGTTTGTGAATAACATACCCAGAACTGGAGAACTCATAGAGTTTCCCTCTGGGAGAGAAGATGATGAGTGCGACTTCAGCATCACACAACACTGAAAGCTCAAAGGCCTTCTTAAGCAACCCATTTCTTCTCTTGGAAAAAGTTACTTGCCTGCTTGTCTCATTTTCAATGCGCTTCATCTGAGTTTTTCCCCTCACCATCCTTTTGTGAAGATCTGAACTGAAATAGACAGAAAATGAGATCTATCTAGTCATCAAGGATTAGAATACAAGTGTCAAAAAACCTCTATATGTTGTTGTTTCCAAAAATAGCAAGTGAATACTGAAAAACCTGACAAAATTTAATCTGGAAGCAATCAATGGAATCTTTTGGTAATCTCAGCCCTGAAAGTAGACTCAACAATCAAGGAAGTCACTGGAGGCCCAATCACAGAAACCCTAGCTAAAAACAGAAGAAGAGTGAGTGGGAGAGAGAGAAAAAGGGGAGGGATGATTGATATTGACACCACCTATATGACCTAGCTTCCTCTTAGGTTTTATTAGCCTATATTTTACTTGATAATGGAGTATATATATCCAAACCAAAAGCCTTGCATAATATAGATATATTTAAGGCAAGAGTCACTAGAAAAGAATCGAATCATTTTATTTTTCTTTTTTTGGTAAACTCAAGAAAAAATATAGACCCTTCCTATATTAAGAAAACTTGGAATAATTGTGCTCCCAATTGCACGTGAATCAACAATGCTCAGCCATTCCTATCAACTATCAAGACTTTGTTTACTCGCTGGAGTAGACACCGACAACCCATGCTTCCGGTGACATTTACTCGGACAGGGCCAATTCTGCAGTGGTAAACAGTTAACAACCCTGTCGGTTGCCGGTTATTTTCGGACAGAGTTGTGAATGAGTGCACGCACATGCACTGGAAAATGCAAGAGAGTAAAAAGGGAGTTTGTCCGTACGAGGGGCGAAACACGTCAGCATTTTCATACATTCACCATTAAGAGAGTGGCCAATGAGATTGTGTTGTGACAATAGTTGAGATTAGATAGGTTTCAAACAGTGTCACGTGTCACCGGCACGCGGGTGGGTGAAGATTGAAGAAGCCTCGTTCTTATATTCCTGGCCCATAAGAAAATAACACTAGTTTATAAGTGGAATGGACCCTCCATTGTACTTTATTTATTCATTTTATATTTCAAGTTTGCTTTTCCATCGGTGGTGACGCAGAATTGGCATCGAAATGTGTAGGTGAAGCTTCATATTTTGGAAAATTTCTTCAATAACTATGGATCCACTGAGTTTTTTATGCATCTTTCATTATATATATTTTATTTTTATTAAATTATTAAAAAAAATTATTTTAAAATAAGGTGAGAGAGTAGTTTAACAAAAAATATATATATATCATATTGTGAATAAAAAATATACCGAAAATTCAATTTATCTATAACATCGAAAATTAATTCAGTGATTCTCTTACTCTTCTTTTTCTCTTTCCTCTCTTCTTATATTGTCGTTATCTCTCTCTTCTCCCGAACTATGGGTGTCCACGGTACATTAAAGTTACTCCGCAGCACAAGAGATATTCTCCGTATGTTGATGGTATTATACCTTTGTGGGGACCATATATGGTCCTTCTCCAAGTTCACTTTCTGCGATGCATCAGAAGAATATTGACTATTCTTTCGGTTGAAAAAAAAAGTGATTTAATTTTCGAATGGAATTTATGGCAAGCAAGATATGGTTTAAAATTTTCAAGAGCATATTTAGCTTGCAATAGGATATGAATATCATGAAATGTGACCTACCGGAGGAAGGACATGTTTCATGCAGGTGTTTAAAAATCTGGTCCGGTCATCGACCCGGTCAAGGTCAGGGGTCATGGGTCACGGGTTCAACCGAGGGGTCACGGGATCACTACGTTGATCTGATTTTATATATTAAAAAAATATAAATATATATATCCTATATGAAAATATTAAAAAATAAACTACCAATCATCAAAGATTCAAAATATAATTAACATAATTCATCGATTACAACCACAAGTTAATGAGATCACTACGCTGATCTGATTTTGCCTCTTTTGATAAAGTCTCTAACAAAGAAAAATTTAAAGGAAATAAGAATGAATTTTTGTTTTTCATCGACGACCATAAAAATTTCATTTAAATGGGTAAATTTTTATCTTTTCTAGAAGATTTATGGCAGCTAGGTGAAGATTGAAGAAGTCTAGGTCGCTGGGACTGAGAGAGAATAGAACGATAAGATTTAGGTTTGCAAGGATTTTTATTTTATTTTTTTAATAAAACGATGTCGTTTCATGAAAAAAAAAATTTAAAAAAAAAAGAAAATATGCAATGACCCCCTTCGACCCGTCTGACCCGGGAGTCACTGAAATCCGGCTGGGTTTTGGGGGTCAGAGGAGTCGATGTGCATATAGGGTCCAACTTGTGACCCCAACCCTCAGAGGGGAGGAGTCAAGGTTGACCCAGGTCAACCGGGGGATGGGGTGGGATTTTAAAACACTGATTTCATGTTGAATTGATAATTTATTTTGAATCCATATACGTGCTCGTAAGTTTTTGGAGATTATGGAATTTATTTATTATAAGAATTTTTTTATAAATAAATAATTTAACATCACAAGTAATTCTTTTGAAATTCTAATATTATTTATTATTATTATGTATACACATCACCTCCCTCACTTCCAACCTCCTCATTATATAAAGTGACATGTCACCATCTATAAATGTCTGCTCCATAGATATCATTAATCACAATTCTTTTTTATCAAATTGTAATTATATTAACCTGATGCCATTTGGCAACAAGAGTAAAAGCGAATAGTGATGTTTATATTTCAAAAATAACTTTTTTTTTGTGCAAACAAAATTCTTATCATTATTATGACTTACAAAAATAATTTAGAGATTTGACTCAAGCAGACATGTGTAGTGTTGTGTAAGTGTATTAGGTGGGCTGGTTGTCAGAAAGGGTTTGTCGGAGTTAAAGTAAAGCCTCTCCTATGCTGTATTAGGCAAAAATAAGTTTGGATAATGGTTTCATGAGACCGCTCCTCCCGTTGTCAATAAGCATAAGACCAGTAGGATTCGGGCTCTTTGACCCATAAAGCCCTTTAATTTTTCAATCTGCTATTTATTCACGGTATTTATAATAAGAGTCATCGAGAGTGATGTGAGGGGAATTCAGCGGTACTGAATGCAGCTACCTTCCCATGTCATTCACATTTTTTTATTTGTTATTTATTTTTTTAATTGAGTGACGCCCTCCTCTTCTGGGACATTCACAGAATTGTGCCAAGTGACACAATCTCATTAGTCCTATTACTGTAAAATTTCGAAAAGTCATAACTTTTAACTCGGGTATCCAAATTAGATGATTTTTTTATTTCACGTAACTTTTTGAGATTTACGCAATGACACCTCATTTGACATATTTTATCTTCCATTAACATAGTTCAAATTTGCAACACTAGTTTCACTTTTTTTACATATTTGAACTATGTTTGTGAGAGATAAAATATGTCAAATGAGGTGTCATTGCGTAGATCTCAAAAAGTTACGTGAAATAAAAAAAATCATCTGATTTGGATACCCGAGTCAAAAGTTATGGCTTTTCGAAGTTTTACGGTAACGAGATTGACAATCCTGTGAGAGCTTCAGGGGAGAGGGTGTCACTCAATTGAAAAAAATAAAAAAATAAAATAAAAAACAATGTGAGTGACGCGAGAGGATGGTAGCGGCACTCAGTTACGCAGGGTCCCCCTCGGGTCACTAAATGACCCCTATTAGTAAATATCATGAACCAAATAACAAATTGATAAATTAAAATCTCAAAAAACCCCAATTGGTCAAAGAGCCGTAGGATTCGTCATGGCTCCGGCGTGTGAGGGGAGATGAGCAAGACTCTGACACTCAAATAAGTATTTGAGTAACATGTGTTGGAAATCGAAATCACACAAAATCGACAAAATAAAAAAAAAGAAAATAGATGAGAGATTGACATAGTGAGTTATCGCGGTTTACCCAATGTAGACTACGTCCAGCTTGTCTGCACTATATTCACATTACCGCTATTCGTTGCAAGTCACTCGATTTACAAGGAGAATATAAATAAGATTAGAAAAATTATAACAGCAGCTATTCATGGGCCCAAGCCCAAACTATTGAGAAAAGCAAAAATTACAATAGATCAAATGCCCACAACAGTAAAGAGCGGGACCAAGTTGCCTTTCTACTAACCCCGACAACAAGGGCCCTCATCAGTATGCAAAATATGAATTATACCTAACAAAATGGAGTTTGTGTAAGAGAAATATAAATATATTGCAAATAATAGTAACTCAATTGGCGCAGAAAATTGAACAGGACGGGTGAAAGCATATGTTTGATCTTTTCTAATATCGTCTTTAGGAGAAGTTTAAAGTCTTAATCTCGAATCCCACCTCAAATCAAACTAGTCGTGAAACGAGGAACCAATTGAAATATAATAAAAGAAGAGAAATATGAATATATGAGACCAGAAGCCTTAAACTCGTAGCTAGGTTGAAGATGATATTGTGGGGCGTGTGACTGGTGAGCCTCTACTCTAAAGAGTAGGGTTTAGCCCTCTACAATTTGTGTGTTGGTGATTGTTGTTTTTGTGTAGATCTAATCATTGTTGTGGCTACCATTAGTCAGACGCTGCACAAAGTTTGCATGACCCATCCTATTAAGCATGGTTCCAAGGTGCTTTATTGGGCCAACTTAATGGACCAGCCATCTAGGCCACGTAATTGTACTAAATAACTCGATGCTACACTTGTTAAAGTGCTGAGTTAAAAGTGCAGTTTTAGATCCTAGATAACTTAATCGAAGGTTTTGGATCTTTCTATAAGGTTTGTGGCTCGATATCTTGGCTTAATGCTTTCGCTATATCTTGATTTTCTTTCTTAGGAGTTTAGTTGATTGTGAGTAGAGGTTTTATTCATCGAATACATAAATTTTGACCCATCCAAAGTATATGAACAGTTAAAAAATGCTGCCTTTATCAATCAAAGGTTGGTTATAAAAACAAAAATTATAACATATGCAATAGAAAGAACATGCCTTTACATCAAACATATAGATCTCACTCAATATAAAAAATTGAGAAGGGTGATTAAGAACATACATTTGGCGCTTCAATCACTCAGTAATATTTGCACGAGAGAAAGGTTGAATCTCTCCAAGCCCTTCTAAGTGGTCCACATTATCTCTGTAAAGGCAACAAAGAACTCTTCTTTTTCTTGATTCCTTACAACCTTGAGTGCTTGCTAGACAATGGAACAATGTAGGAGCTCATGTGTTTGGGTGGAGGAAGAGAGGAAGAGAAGAGGAGACTCATGAGACAATAGGAGAGGGAGAGAGGTGCAACATCATCTGGCAGCTAGTAGGGGTATAAATGGATCAGTTGGCCTAACAAGGCTTACGGCTCAGCCTACATCAAGTCAAACTCGACCAATTACATATTGTTAAATTGAACAGAGTTAGGCCTAAAAAAACCTATTTAGAAAGCAGGTCATAGACTTCCTTTTACATGCTGGGCCTATAAGTCTACAGGTCGGCCTATATCATATTATTTATTTTAAATAAAATAAATAAATTATTATTTTAAAGATTTTGAATAATAAAATAATATTATTTTAATTATTTTTTTAAT